ACCTGTGTAATTTGTAGAAAAAGAAAAAGAAAAAGAAAAAAAAAAACCAAGATTAAAAAGAAATAAGAAAAGTACACTAAACTACCGTACGATGAGCGATAACTCGTTAAGAGGCGGAAACTAACGCGTCGATACGTACACGGACAAACCGTGTCCTTGTGGTGTGGCAAAATGTCCGGCAATGAACTATCGCATTGCAAAATGTGAAAGCGATTAAAATTCCAACCGACGGACGAGTCTCTTTCTCTATTTCTCTCACACACTCTCTTTCTTTCTATCTTTCTATCTTTCTATATTCCCCGCTGCTTCTATGAAGTGTTCTTTTCCTCGTGACTCCTTCTAGCACCGAGAGTTACGTGAGAAGAATCGGTATATAGATTCGAAAAGTGTGCCTACTTTTCTTTTTACAATGAAAATAAATAATTGTATATAACATATTATTGTAACATACGATTACCCATTGACTTTTCTTATTTCACCACACGAAAACAATACACATTTGTTCTATGTTACTTTTATCATAGAAATAAGAAATACCTAATTAATCGATAAACGATTGAACGAACGAACGAAAACAACGCTTAGCCGGTTGAAGCGTCGTATACCTACTGACTCTCCTGAGACAGAAAATCGTCGTGTCTGTCCGCTGTCAGATAAGAATATCTATCGTCAGCCATCCACGCCTCTACTGTATATACATATATATATAAATACGTACACGTATGCGTCCTTACGTATTATATACAACACGTATACGCGTATAAAAACATGTGTATGTTTTTCTCTTTTGTGTGTACGTTCCACACGCGTTTTTATCTTTACGTGTAGAAAACATATAAAAAGCATATACGAGGAGAAGGAGTCATACAGGTAAAACGATACATTCTATGTTGTCGTCGTTCTAAATGTAATAACTATAATGTTACCAAACGTATATACAAAACATCAATATCGATGACACTTCGATACGCGTGCGAAAAATCTCGTTAAGGAAGACGGTAACGTTACGCGGAATTTTCTAATACCGCGATCGAACAAAACAATAAAAAAAAAAACAAGTAGCAATTGGTCATTTTGATAGTGACAACAATTGTTATTCGATTCTATGACCCTAATAACCAATCGTAAATGATTATAAACGATTTGTAGACACGTTGTAATGATTATTTGAAAATATAAGAAGAAAAATAGAAACTTATAATTGATGTTATTAATGCAATAATCTCACCTTGACTTAGTTGAATCGACCGAGACTCAGCTATCGTGATGATTTCTTATATTACCTCAATAATAATGTATAAATTATTTCTTCGTTACAACACTATATCGCTTATGATTTAATGACACACTAGTGTCGTGTGGGTTTGAATTCTATGTTAAATGTATCCTTTATTAACTCGTAAAATTGTTTAAATAATGACAATTTTAACTGTTTAAATATTGTATATATGTTTCTCACTTGTGCATTTACAAATATTTGGAGAAACCACGTATGTACTCGTCAGCTTTGTAGATGAAAGCATAGTTAAATAAATACAATTAAATTGGCATTAAGTATTTATCGAGCTTTACTGATAAGATAAATTTCAAATGTTTTCAGTGCGTTTAGAGAGAAGAAAAAAATATTCGAAATATAGCGAAAAAACATGCATTAGCATATAAAACTTATATACAATTATAAAAAAAAAAAAGAATTTTAAATAAGAACGAATATATTATATACGTCGAGATTATATAATAAAAAATTTATGTTAAGCAAAGTATTATAAATATATACTGTATATATCCACTGACCTGTAAAGGAAGCATCGAAGAGAACGGTCGAATTTCGGGTGAAATTTTTGATTTTTAACAGACTTACTCGCTGCTTATTTAACGAAAACGTTCACCTGTAACATTTTTTAATCTCATTCCTCGCAATCGCATGCACTGTTACACAAGAACGCCGTCGTTATGAAAAATGCGATATAAAAGACTGATAAATAATTAATCGAGACTTTTTTTTTTTTATGTGTTCGTGTATGGCAAATAATTGCAAGCATGAAATTTACTCATCGTGTAAATGAATACGTGTACGATATACAAGGAACGCATTCGTACAAATGAATACGATGCATTCTGCTTATAAATAATCAGCAAATGATAATATTACATACATATATACAATTTGTACAATTTTTATTACAATAATATTTGGTAAATGTAGCACAATTTTGGATACTATCGTGCCATACAATAGAAAATACTCTCTAAATCGTTCATTATTACATCAATAGCGTTTATACTGAAATATTATATAAACAAAAAAGAAAATAATAAATTTCATTTTGTTTTATATGCTTGACAAATACAAAGAGACATTTCTTGAATATCTCACATAAGCTTTAAAAGGACAAACGAAGCGACAAAATAAATGTAGACATCGCATACATTATAGCAGCGCAACGTTTATTACCAAACCAATGTTATATTATAAACGATAACTTAACTTTTAAAAGTAAGTATATATATAAATATATATATACATATGTATATATGTATATATATATATATTTCTCGCTCTATCTAAATAATCTTTTATATATATGTGAGTCTATGTTCACATATTTCAAACGATTAAACTACATAAGTATCGACATGTAGCGTGTGTGTGAATTATCTTATATCAAAGAATAATTAATTCTGAACTAAATCACAAATTTTAATACGAGTTCTTTACTTATTTTATAATCTTTTAGTGTGTACTGTTTCCCACGTTTAAGATAGATTCGTTTTCGATAATACTACTTTATTGCATAAAAAATTGTCTCTGCTTGTTGTGATAATAAGAGTAGTGTAAAAGAATTAGAAAAATATATAATAATGAACCTTATTGTGCTGTATTTTAAACTATTTCATAAATTCATATAAAAAGTGTTACATGACGTTAAACACGTTAGTAAAAAACAAACAAACAAAAAAAAGAAGAAATAAAAAGAAAATGCATGCTCCAAAATTGTTGACGAATTTGTAAAAAAAATTCTTATTGTTATTACATTCATTTTTGAAGAGGTTATTTACAAAATCAAAATCGAATCTATCGACGACGCGTATTGAATACTTCAATATACTTACTATTTTAATGAATAATATTTTTATACATATATATATATATATACGTAGATATATGTACCTCTACTTCTTGGCTCAACCATACTTCTATATATACATATTTAATAATATTACTTATTATAGGTACTATATAAATTGGACTTAGCTACTCATTAAATTTTTGTCTACATCTATTTATCTACTTAATACTACCAGTATACGGACGCGAAGCTACTCTTTGTTAATACCTATACTGTTATCAAATACTGCTTTATAAATGTAATTTCAATGATATAGATTTTTATAGATATATACGTAATTACATGATTGTGTACTCAAAATCGGCAAGAAAATAAAATATATCTATTGGAAAAAAATATACAAAAACAAATAACGTTATTATAAAATCTCTAATAATTCATCTATTATCTTCTTCTGCCTATTTTTTTATCTTGCCTAATATATAATATCATTAAAATTGTTTTTAAAACAAACAATATTTGTTTCATTTTAGTTAATACACGATGAAACAAGAAATATTATTTGAGCGTATTGCAATTGCGATATATTCTATGTATAATTATAAACATATCATATATATTATATACAATATCTATATACAAAAACCCTAATACATGATTTTCAAACGAACTTTTTGACAATCTAAGGAACCAGTTTATTCACTGTACATCTCATAACCCTTAACCGTATCATTTGTGACACTTACGTTAACTAACGTAAGTCGGTCGACAAGCATGGTAGGGTCATACTCGGAATGTTCAATTTAACAAACGCGACAATTACGATAAATGTTAACTTCTCGGTGTTTTTATCGAAGCGAAATGCCTATCTATTACATACGTCAAGTTAATTTACGAATAACAATCAATATAATGATAGAATTGGATAGTTACTATTTTTCATCACGTGTCACAAAAATAACAAGCTTTCGAAATCGTTAAATTCTCGTTTTTATTTTTTTCCCCCTCGCTAAAACGAACGTGTCCTTTTTCATAGGACAATTTAAAGTTTTATTATTAGTTTCAACAAGATAGAGAAAAATTTGAAATCGGTTTTTTTTTTTTTTTTTATTGCACTTCCGCGATCATCAACAACGTGTTATTTCGTCATATATATTTTCTATATACATATAATATTATACGTATACATCTAAATACATAAAACTATGTTCCAAAGCCCATCCATACTCTTAACCTTCGAATGAACCTCATGGTGGCTTCTTTTTTTCTTATACAACCAAAGAAGGCTTTTCGATACCCGATCCAAGTTCCGATGGAACGAACGAGGTCTTCCTCGAGCTGTCCGATAACGGAGGTACTACTTGCCCCCAGGATAGATTACCTTCCCTTTTTTTCCAGCAAAGATTTCTTCAGGTTAAAGTGCATCCGATTAATGTCAGGAAAGAAACGGGCAGAGAGAGTGATTTAAAGTTTTTACAGATAATTTGTTCTGGGTTTTCTTTTTTTTCTTTTTTTTTTTTGGTGTGCGTGAAATTTATCGACATTTAGTAAATCTTTTGGTAAAATCGATAGGATTGAATAGATATAACATAAAAGGGATTTATATCTACATATATATATATATATATATATATATAAACTAATATGAATATTTAATTAGAAATCATTACGAGTATTCAAAAAAATTCTTTTTTTTTTTTTTACAAACATTATCTCAATTTTTAATCGTTAAAAATTCAAACTTTATAAGAGGGGAGAAAATAAGAAAATATTTATCATGAGGAAGGAGAAAAAGGTCCGGCAACGTGTGTATCTCCATCCGTGTTCAGGCAAACCGTAAACAACAAAGACGCAACACAACGATTATGCATGTACACGTGGTCAGAAAGAAGCGTCATGCGGTGCAGCCAAGCGTGCGTTGCTGTTTACCTGCGAAGGGCACGTCTCCGAAGTATTCCTCAACGTTGTCGGTAGACATGCTCTTGTCCGAAAGAGAAACGCTCGATAAAGATCCGCTGGATGCATCTAGAGAACCGCTTGCTGGAAACTGTAGCAAATCCTCGTCAGTTTCCGTTTCCATGTCGCGAGATCTTCTTTTGTATACCTAACGAAAAACGAATGCAAAATATTTTTCTCTTCTTTTCCTGGTTTTTTTTTAATTCTTTTCTCCAAAATTTTCTTTCGATAATTTAACACCCTAAAAAGTTCCTGATCGACATAAATCATGATATTTCGATAATCATGATATGATAGATGAAGATCATATATGGAAGGATGAGCGTAACATTATTTTTTCGTTCTTCGTAATTTTGTTAAAAGATGTAAGGGTTTTTATCTTCCTTGAACAATATTTTTTAATTAATCCTCATTTAATTCTATAATATTGTGTGAATGTATACTATGTTTCTTTTTCCTCTTGCTAAGTCAAGAGAATATGATTTGTATGGCTTATAAAATGACTACAAATACATTGTACAGAGTAATGAAAATCAAAAATCGAGAAAGAAATTTCCTTAGTTCGACTTTCCGCAACTAAAATTTGAAGAATTCTAAACGGTATATACGATCATCATCGAGATGAATATTTTTCAAGATAAAAAGTATAAATCATCACTGAAAAATTATATATTTTGATGTACTTTCAACGATATAGAAGAAGAAAGAAATATCAGGAAAACGAGATAAAAGAGACAAGCAAAGAGAAATGGAGAAACATTTTCAAGAAAGCAAGAGAGAAAAAAAGAACCAGAAAAGCGCAAAAGTCAGAGACTTCATTATCCAAAGGGTGTCAGCGACTTGCATTTTGCTGCTCTACTGAACTCCCGGAAGTTGACAAGTGAAAAGCAACCATCCGTAATCGGTCCCTTCATTTTCTTCCTTCCCTTCGTCTTTTTGGGTCTCTCATCTTCTTTTCTTTTTTTTTCTCTTCGACTATTTTTCAAACGACAGTTTTCTTCTCAACGATTGTAACAACATTTGTTTAAATCACGTTGACGATCATATTTCAAACACAGATTTGATTGAAAATTCTTATCAAAATGTGGGCTTTACAAGAAATCTTTCTCATTGTTTAAACGATCTTCAATTACTAAAATGTAATTTCACGCGATGATATATACAATAAAATAAACATATTATGATCACAAAATAATAAAAAATTAAACGCTTAAAATACGCTAAAATGTATAGGTATTCTTCCTTCGTAGACTAACACATCCGGCTTACTTCATTGTATAGTCATAAGCGACAGGTTGCAAATAGGGGAAGATCGTATCTTTGAAGAAGTAGATTTCTAAATAACGGTAGAAGTCGAGTTGAGCATTCCCCGAAGATGCAACGAAGCAAAAGCCGGGAATGCTCGATTCACACGATTTCAACGCACCAACGGATCCTTCCGAGCAAACGGAAACGTATCCGTACTCCAACGATGCACGTTGCTCGAAGGAACACGTTCTCCTTTTCCCTTCTGTGGCATCTAGTGAAAAGGATACACACACATACACACACATATATATATATATATATATTCATATATATTATATCTATGTTAGATTTTGCCGAGCGTGTACGGCCGTTGAAAGATGTAGTGCATATACCAGCCGTCGTCAGCGTTTGATGAAGAGAAAAGCATCGTATGCTGACTAGAAGAGAAAGAGAGAAAGAGAAAGAGAAAGAGAGAAAGAGAAAGAGAAAGAGAAAGAGAGGAGAGATAAGAGAGCACGCCATGGATATCCAAGTACCGGTAGATAGGAGAGAGGAAGCGTGCGCGTAGAGTCGGTCTCACAGCAGAGCGATCACAGGATGACGCGGCAAACGGCTGTGAAAGAGCGATGCTGATACCACGAGCAGAAACTAAGAGAGGGAAAGGGAGAGAAATAGGGTAGGGAACTGCCAGATTTGGCTCCTTGGAAATCGCATCACAGATCAAACAGGGCTTGTATATTAAACGTAGCCCGTGGTACGTAAGACGTTCCTACATAGGTATACCTATACATACTAGAGACCATATACTACCGCTTATCTTCTATCCAACGATTCGAATCGACTGAGAGATTTAACGATCTTTGACATAGATGGAATTTCTCGAATTCACGACGTTCCCCAACTCTTAGTGCAATTCTCATACGACAAGATATGAAATCGAACACACCCGTTCCCCATGCATCAACGATCACATACCCAAAACGTACGGAAATGAATCTTCTAAAGATCTTCCGAGAATATGTTCGAGAAATCTTCTATCTGTAAATCGTCTATTGTATTACACTCAAATGTTGTTTTATAAATGAACAACACAAATTGTTTTGAGATAAATATTTAACAAAAAAAAAGAAAAAAGATATATAGAAAGAGTCGAATGAAATTTAAAAAGGCTCACCTGGCTCAACGGACGAATACGTTCATGAATCGACTTTTCAGCTTGCATGGCGGAAGGTGGCGGATGATCGGGAGTCGGTGGTTGAACGTAATGAGTTGGGCTCGTGGGGAACATCATTTGAACACGCCTGAGTCTCTTATCCGTGGCCTCTCTACCATCCTGAACCATTATTGTAAACCCACCCTCTGGAATCTCTCGTTTTTCGTCTAGCAAGCTCTCTTGGGAAGACTTCAAGGTGAGAAAAGCGTTTGAGACGAAGGTTTGTTCTTGGTGTATCGAGTCGTTTTCACTGCATGGCGATTTATCGACGCAAGGACCGTTGTTATCAAGTTCATAGCCTTCGTAAGCGTGTCTACGAAGTTTCCTTCTTGGATTTAACATTTTTATTGGACGATTCTCGTAAATTGACGTTATCGCTATTGGTTCTACGTTGGTATTTGATGTTGTCGTTGCTGTCGCTACCGGTATTCCCTCTCGTCGATTGGTACCACTTTCCATGGACGGCACGAAACGAGACTTCATCTCTACGTATTGGTCAACGCTTCTCGTCACGTGTCGTAATTGCTCACGACGTTTTTGTAGCTGCTCGAGATCTATGTGACTACGCGCACCGCTACGCGCCAAGAACAAGTACTCGTAGTTACTCGGACCCAACGAACAGTCCGCCGAAAGTGACATTTGAGTCTGCAGGTGCGTTGGCGAAACCGATAGGTTACGCCTCGGTGGTTTCTTCGGTGGTGTTGGCTATAAAAATCCCCATTAAATCAGCCTCCCTATTGGTATCGATTCATGATACCTACTTTATAACAACGATCTCTACGTTATACGAAATGAAAGCATAAAAGATTGATTCTTTCGATGTATATTTAATTTTGTGTATTGCGAATAAAGAAAAATAACTATGCGTTTAATAATCAACGATCGACAACTACAATTTTGTTTGTATATCCAAATACAAATGAAAAAGTATCTATTAAAATACGTTAACTCGAACTCTATTTTCAAAGGATTCCATCAGTTTTATATATTTTGTATCGAGCGATGCAAAAATCTATTTCCTCTACCTTCATATTAGATTTCTCCGTTACAACGATCGAATCGACAGACCAATTATCGAGGAATCGATCAACGAAGTGAATTCTTTACTCTGGAAGCCACGAAATTGATGATACCTCCATCAATTTAAACCACACTCTAAACATTGTCGATATCTTACTTCTCGCTTCGTATATAGAATATTTGCAAAACGTTTCTCTCGTTAAAACGCGTAATCGTTCTAGAATATTAATCGTACCTATACTAAAATAACATTGTTCCTCGTATTTATAATTTAACGATGACGATGATCACTGATTCGATCGTATAAACGATGAAATTGGAACACTCAGGAATCCTAAATATAATTTGTAAAATTTTCAACATAAAAAAATCAATAGCTTCGAATAATTTCGGTTAACTTATGACGTCATTTCATCCCTCTAAAGAAAAAAGAAAAAATAAACTTACCGAGACTTTGCTGTTAGAGGCAGGGCTATGAAGTGAGCTGGACAGGGGCGCCATTGGTAAGTAAATCCCAGGGACACCAGAATCGTTGGGTAAACATCGTCGTTCCCGTGGGCTTGGTCCACCAACGCTGGAGGACGAGGAAACGCTCAATTGATCGGACTCCCTGTTACCACCGTATCCTGTGGGCAATGTCAAGGACAGATCCTCCGACACGAAGCTACCCTCCATGGTTCCTCTTGGTACAGGTGGTGTTTGATACAATCCACTATCCGAACCCCTACGATAGTAAATCCTCAAACTAAATCTTTGAACGTTACTAATCGTGATTATTATCTTTACGAATACTAACTATTATACATACCACCAAAATCGATCGTTTCCATTTTTTTTCCTATAAAATCTCTAACGCAAGTTAAATTATTCAACATCCTACGATTATATTTCAAACGAACTGAGCTTCCCTATTTGAACTGTATACTTTTGTAAATTGTTTATTACGATTATTTAAAAGGATTTTGATCAAAATACGATAGAAAGAGAAAACGCAGTTCGTTTCGTTTCGTTTCGTTTCGTTCTTTCGTTCGTTCGTTTGTTTTATTTGATAATAAGCGAATTATAAATATGTGAGTGATGGAAGTGGCAAATGTTGTTTATGTCATTACCCTGTCGTGTCGCGTGGTTGTAACGGTGTTCTAGAAGAGATGATAGTGTTTTGTGCTTTGTCTTCCGGTGTTTGGTCAGAACTTTCAAGAGTATTTATGGAGTTGAGAGTGTCAGACATAGACATGAGAACACTGTCGAAGATTGAACTGGGGTCGGAGTAATCCTCTGTCTGCGGGAGAGTCCTCCGTACTCCATTCACTGGTCCCCTATTCTGCTCATCTTCACTGAAACGCGTCATCCATCTAGGCTCGTTAAATCTTTTTTTATATATATATATTCAACCTATCTTTTTTTAATTTTGAAGCATTCGATACCGTAAAATTTCATCGAAATGAAATCGCCTAAAATTTCTAATCCCGAATAATCTTGAAATGTATCTGATCTCTTTCAAATAAATTGCAAAGGACACGAATACAGAAAAAAAAAAAAACAAAAGAAGGAGAGAAAATCTTCGAATAGCAGAAGGAGAGAAGGCCATATCCGTAGGACACGGTTGAGAGGCATGGTTATTAGTTTTATGCTGAGACGGGCTAACATTTACATTGTTTAACGTGATGGATTCATCTCGAGGCAGGCCGAGTCGGGGATACCAATGTCAAACACGGACGGTGGAGAGCTTTCCTTGCTGGCATTGCACCCTTCATTCTTTATCCTTCTCACTCCGTTGAGTTCAGCCAACCGGTTGGCCTTAGTAGCTAGCGGAAGTGGAGAGCGAGAGTAGCAATGGGGCAATGCGGCGGGGGTGACCTGGGGCGAACGAGACGGTCGGACCCACCATCGCCTGCCTACATCAGGAAAATTAAACCAAGCCAAGCGGTGCTTAACGCGCTGGGGCTACACGCGGCCGCGCCACCTCCTCCTCTTCTATCCCACCCTCTCTATCTCTATCTCTTTCCTTTAGCTATACATCGAAACCTCCCCTTTCGACCCGAGAACCTTCAACTCTGTGGCTAAGGCAGGGGCAACGCCAACAGTGGCAGTAGCAGCAGTAGTGGTAGCAGGAGTAGAAGCACCAGCAACAACATTCAGTAGTAGTAACAGCACCAACCAACAGGAGTCAGCAATGACACCACCGACTGTGGCTAACAGAAGCAGGTATAGTTAACTAGTGTTGGTGATGGCAACGGTAGTGGCACTAGTAGCAACTACGCAAGCAGGCATCATCACCCTTTTGCTCGTCCAGTAACTTTCTCTTCTCTTTCTTTCTCTTTCTCTTTCTCTTTCTCTCTCTCTCTCTCTCTCTCTTGCTCTTTCTATCTATCTCTCATTCTTTCTCACTCTCTCTATACTCGTTCATTCACTCTCGCATTGCTGGGTCCACGTCTATGCTTTTGTTTGCCCACATCTCCTATATTAAAGCTATGCGCGTACTTTCTCGCACCTACGTGTACGTTACACATACATACATACAAATATCGAGACTTTTTGCGAAATATTACGGCCCTACCAATGCGAGAGTAGGCTCTCGTCTCTCTTTTTCTCTGTTTCTCTCCTTCCTCCCGTTTATTTTTCTCTCCTTCTTCGGTATTAATAAATGTAACGTAGAACGATGATAGTTCGAAACACGAGGAAGAACCGTGCATTACTCGTTTAAGGATTACGTTTACTTTTTGGAAAAATGTCAGACTAATTAGTTGACGGAGAACTATCTAGATGAAAATTTTCTTTTACTCGACTCTGCCTGCTACACGTTCCCTTCGCAAAAGTTCGAGCGAGCACTCGTTCTAATGAGGAAACGACGTGACCGGAAACTGGACGCAAACGAGAACGAAATAGCGCTAAATTATATACCCGTGGCAAACTAGAAACGTATACAATGTTCTTTAAAGTGGAATTATTCGATGTAGTGTGCCGCTCGAAACGGTTAAATGTTGTTATATTGTTTACATTGTATTCGATATGAGATGAGTAATGATTCATTGTATTATAAATTAATATGTATGACATTTTGAGTACTATTAATACTTTACCTATATCTAAAAAGATTTGACATTTTTTATCTGCTTCTCTCTCATATACAAATATTAATTACATATAAACATTATAGAAAAAAAAATAAAAAGACATGACAAAATTACTCGGTTGTTAATATTGAATTATAATGAGTGGCATATAATATTCTTCATTTCCAAAAATAAAATAAATGAAAGAAAATTTAATGATAATTGCGTTACCAGCAAAAAGTTTGATTAATTAATTAAAGATTCTCTGTCTTATGCTGGATCAAAACAAATTCCATAATCGTTCAAGCGTTCTATTCATAAAAATAATCCTAATATTAAAGTCCATCGATGCGGAGTTGATTTCAGTCAAAGGAAAATAAGAAATAGATAACACGTGGGGCTGTTCGGCAAAGTGATTCGTAGAGACGCAATAAAAACCAGGAGGAGAACGAAAAAAGAAAAATGTGAAAAAAAAAGAAAAGAAAATATACTCACAAAGAAATAACGGAAGTTCCGGAAACACGACGATCATCGTCCCGAGGCTTATGATAGAACTGCCATTGGGTGGGCGACGTCTCTTCCGCCGGAGAAAGATCATCCCCTGGGCGTACGTTTTCGTAGGGGCTGCCCAATGAGTCGCCACCCTGAACCGGAATCGGTGGCAAGTTCTCACTGTCGGCATCGCTTTCCACTCCGGAAGAGGACCTGTGCCCTGCACGTGGAATATAATATTATATATCATTCCACGTGTACCATAAAATAGAATCCTAACAATTAATAGTTCATCTATAATGTATTTTCTCATCGAAAAGTTATAATAACGAGCATATGTTATTACATATTTTTACATATGTTACGAATCTCTCTTAAATAAAGATTTAGTATTATAGAATATTCTTATTATATATTTATCTATGGAATTAAGTTGTAAGTATTAAAGCAATTTAATCACATCTCGCATATTCTTAATTACGGTGAGGGTGAATACCGTAAAAAGGATCGCTTGGATTCTATACAGATTCTTGTAATTAAGATGAAAAAGATGTAGTAATAGGAGTGAGTAAAGTGAAGGGACAACCCGCAGCAATTCCGACGTACTTTTTATTACAGCTGTAATATCTTGGGTGACGTGTGGCGGAAATTGTCCCAAAAGGTCCAGAACGGTGTTTTGACGAGAGTCCCTGATTCCCAAATCCACGCCTCTGTCCAGAAGCGCTCGGACAACCTCCATCTTACCGCAAAGTGCCGCCTCGTGCATCGCTGTGCCAGCAGACGTTCTTGTGTTGACGTCCACTCCCGCAGCAAGCAGAACTTCCACAACGGCCCTAAAAAAGGAAAAGAAAAAATTCATTAAAGAAATAAGAAAACAGCGACGTCAAAAATTATATCTTAAATAATTCATTTCTATTACAAATTTATTAATATAAACAATATAAAACTGTTAGATATAATCAGAGTATTTTATAACTTTACAAATTAGTATATCGTAAAAAACATATGTGAAATAATTAATAAGATATAATTCGAGGTAATTAAAATCTATCGATTTTAATCCAAATTTTATAAACTTCTTAAAAATAATTTTAAAAGAAAATTAGAAAACAAATAAGACTGATCACATATTACTATTAGAATTAAATGAATAAATGATGACAAATGCCAACGCAATTGCATTCTCACGAGATCATGGAAATCGAACAAAGAACGTATCCTTGCCTTCCTCAAAGAGACTCCAGGCATGCGATCGTCCAGGACCGGCACGGTGCATATATATACGTAGAATTTAGATTGTCTCGGACAATCGAAATCACAAAATACGAATTCCATCACGCAGTCCACGCCGACTGCAGTGACCGCAGCCATCCGTCGCATATAGGATTCGCGGCTGGGGATCGGATTCGCATGCACCTACGTTGTTATTACCGTGCCATAGGAGTATTTGTATACTGGCTTACCGAGAGCAGCGATATTGAATCCGATAATAGACATTACTCCACCCCCACCTCCCGTTTTCTCCCACGCTCACCCTCTCAATCCCTTTGCTCACCCGCACTATCGCCAATCCTCTCTCTTTCTCTCTCGCTCATTCTGCAATTCCAGCAAACGTCAAAGTAAAGTCTGTCTCTTTCTCATTCGAATAAACCCCATATCTCTCTCTCTCTATATATATATATATATATATATATATATATATATATATATATATTTCTCTTTCTCACTCGCTCGTACATACACGCGCGCGCGCGCGTATGTATAGCAAGGCGTTATTTAACCAAAATTCGAGCGATAAAATGTCACGTTCCCTTTCCTCTTTCTCTCTCTCCCTCTCATTCTCTTCGTATCCACATGCAAGCACGCAAACGTACGCGCCATCGGTATAAAATGCAACCATCGGACTGTACTGTATATCGCCAAATGCGATCGCATTATAAGCGGCGAGCGACGGTTAAAGCGATTACCGGCTGCGAGGATGCATAGAAAAACCGACGTTATACCCGATTACAATGTGAGCACCGTTTCGCGGCGATTCACGATCGCCGACCATTTCGATACCAGTCACTACCATTCTCTCTCTTTCTCTCTCTAAACCATTCCAACGTTCAACCCTTCGTCCCTCTTCACTCATTCTCTCTCACTCTCCCATATACGTTCTACGCATCCTACCGTCGATTATTTTAAAGGCTTACCAAGAGGATTATGAACGTGTACCATCGCTATGTTAAATGAGAACGAATCGGTTGAAACGATAAAAATGGATATTCCGCTTGTTAAACGAGCGATCACCGAAGCCTCGGAAAAGGGAAGAGCATATAACTTTATATAGAATATAATTGTCGAAAGAACAATGATCAAAATCATGAGTGTTCTGGGAAAGAACTTCGATGGTATTTGTTGCATCGTTTACAGTAAGATTTTATTTCGATGGTAAAATATATGAAAAGAACACCTTTGCTTAGAAGCGATCAAGTATATGACTATGTAACGCTAAAAGTAGAAGAAAACTAATTCAAAGAGTCGTACGATACAATATGTTAATAAAGTTTTCACTTATTTTCCTCGCGCGATCGTACCACGTCGATGTAATCGATTATCCGGTTAATCTCTTGCGTTATCCGATTAAACGATCGATTGGACAATGTACGCTGGTGCTTACAATATTATTTAATTAACAAGCCATTAACGCGAATACGAATTTACGATTTCCTACGGTACATATCTACGTTCTATCACGCTCTTTCATTTGCGTTTTAGGAATCGCAAATCTGCTTGAACCAGTCCACTCTAATTTCATTCGACGATACGAATAATGAGATTTGTTCCCTTTAATCTATCTTCGATATATCCTTTTCCAATTGAATTATCTTCCTTCCTGACACATAGGATTTAAAGTACAAAGCTACACTATCTCTCTCTCTCTCTCTCTCATTCTCTTTTTCTCTATGTTTCTTTAGCTCGCCTAGGCGAAAATAACTTTAACCTTTCCATTAGCTAGTTTTCAAAGTTCATGTCATGATCTATACACATACATCCACACACAAGTACATATGTATATACCCTGTAAGCTGCATATGGATCGACTGAAAATACGCGAGGATAAAGAAGAAGATAATAACGAACGCGGTTTCTCTATACTAAAGGTTAATCCTTTCTGCTCGATCAATTTATTATTGCTCCTTAAATAAATCTTTCGGATATATAAATCTTCAAAGATTATTAAGAATAAAAGATAATCTAATTTTTCGTACAAAGAACGCAATATTGCTTGGCTAGTTTAATTATCAATTTTGTCTATTAAGTTATCAAAGATGATAACAATAAACAAGTAATAGGACCAGGTATCCAAAGCACCTTTTGCTAAAAGCAATCGTAGATAATCTAGGTCGATACGTTTCGACAGTGTTAATTAATACGATTCTCGCGATCAAGAGGCGGAGGTCGATTGCAATTCGCATGGATGAATCAAAGAGAGGCTGCTGGCCGGCTGTTGGCCGGCATGATGCGTTCTGATACATTCATGTTCGCAAGAGAGAGGAGAGAGGATACGTTCGAACCGGTAGATGGTAACATAGGACGTGTTACTCTGAGAGGGTTGCATCGGACCATGCCAGTTGGATGCAGGCATATATCCCATTCGATGGGATTACGCAACACCGTGCTCTCTGATTGGTTCTAATCGTCGGCTCTGCAAATGGCTCTACATCGTTATGGTTTGCTCGAACGAGCGCATTGTTGTTCAGGGTTACAACATCACAGAATAGGTATTATTCGATAATTGGAGCGAACGGTATATTGCTGATAAGAAAAGAATAGAGAAAGTTTTACCACGAAAAATGAAAATATTAAAAAGAAACCAAAAATATATAATACGATTGCTCAATTTTATCCCGTCAATCGAATTCGTCAATTTCTTCTTCTTACTACATCATTCAAAGTCTATGAAAATAATGATTATAATTTTTGATTAATCAATACAATTCAGTAATATGTGAATCCGCGATCGAATTTATGAATTCGATTTGGATAAAAACGTAATGACGAATTTTTTTCATTCCAGCAAAATCACAGGACCGCGAAATGGTGTACTCAAATGCACCGAAATACGCATCGGTGCAAATACCCTGCTTGTGCGAATTGCGGCTAATCTAACAGCGACACCGCCAATTGTAACGCAATATAAAATGGCGCTGATGGTGGTAGTGGTGGCAGTGGTAGAGAGTTGGTCGTGGTAGTAGTGGTTGCCAATGAATGTGTAGACCAACGCCCGGACGCGTGGTCAAACGCGCTGCAGCGATCATCGGATCAGCTTAATCAAATAAAGAGAACGTGGGCTCTGCACAATATCAAATGGATCCCGAACTTGCGGTACTACAAATCGAATACCAAGACGATTCACGATTGGTCCTGCAGAAAGCTTAGTCAGCGGAATAAAGTGATCATGATTTATGATTTTTCCAGATGAAAACTTTTGTCATTTAAAAAATATATAAAAACAAATAAAATATTCCTATTCGATAATTTGAAAATTTAATATATACTATATATTCTCCGAAAATATTAACGCTTTGCACTCGAGCCCTTTTTCGTTCGGATAAACCATCAACTCGAGACGATTTTCCGTATATTTGATGAATTTCTTACAACTATCTTGAAATGATTTCATACACACACACATACACACAATTTAAAGTTATTTAATTTTAATTGTTACCGCTCAAATCATCGCATTAAACCGAGTGGTAACCGAAAATAACCTTCTGAGTGCAAAGAGTTAACAATAGGTACCAACAGAATACCAGTTTGAATTGATACAATCTTTTTAAAAAGAAGATTTACGATCTATAGTAAAATAAATAGAAAACAAACACTTACCTATGTCCATTACGTGATGCTAAATGCAACGGAGTGTGTGGGAAGATCAAAGACGAGGAAGAATTTCGTAAAGATTCAATCAATTCTGGATGGGTTCGCACGAGTAATTCCACTGTCTCCAATCTATAAATGAATGAACAAACTGATATTTCTATAGCGATTATATTTTCATTATTTTCTATTTGTATTCATTTCATTATATTAATATGACGATATTATATTTTTTCTTTTCAAGTATTTTCTCTTTCTAGTTTTTGTTGTTGTTGTTGTTTTAAATCACAAAAATTGTAAACCAAATCATATAACGTTTTATTATAAAATAAAATCGGCAAATCGACACAGATGTGCCTATTTCTTTCTTTCTCTCTCTCTTTTTCTCGATCAAACTTTTTCTCGTAGATTTAAAAATTCGTACAATCCATTTACCTGCCATATTGCGCTGCGAGGTCGAGAGCAGATTCTCCGCGGCTGTTGCGGATACTTGCGTCGCATCCGTAGTCCAACAGCTGCGCCACTATTTCCGTGTGTCCATATTGTGCGGCACAATGCAAGGCCGTCTCATTGTCCTTTGTCTGTAAAATCGTATAAAACACAGTGCCGTATTTTCTAACTGTATTCTTATGGATAGATTTTTACGAAAATTGCCAAATTCGAAGAAACATTGCCAAAGTATTTGTCTTTATCTTCATTTTATATTGTATTGCGAATTATTAAAGTACATGAAATAGTATCACAAATGTCATCAAAGTTTTACAAGAACAATAATATGATATTCTTAAAAACAAATATTTCTTCAAATAATTATTATTATCAAATTAGCTTACCGCTAGATTAACTTTAGGTACCGAAGGTCCTTGCCTAAGAATTAATCGCACGATTTCAGTATCACCTTTCCAAGCTGCCAAATGAAGTGGCGAAGATCCTTTAGCATCTACGACGTTTGTGGAAGCCTCATATTGGAGCAATAACTTCACTATTTCACTGAATAGAACAAAAAAATTTATTGCTCGATAATCCGTTCGAATTATAATCAAAGAAGTGCAATGAAAATAACTTATCAATGGGTGAAATTAAGTTTTAGTTTAAGAAACATTACAACTTGGGTAATAGGTGACGTAGAATATGGAGAATGATAATTTACTATTCCAAATAAACGATTTTAATGAATTCGAATGCATACCGACGACCATTGAGTGCTGCATGATGAAGGGCCGTATATCCACTGGCATCTTGTACGTTAGCACCCGGMCCCCGCCGTAAACTGTAAATAAGAATTTATGAAATATTTTTTAACGCCCTATTTCCCCATTTGTTTTGTGTAATTTAACAGTTAATGAAGGACATGGATGATATTTCTTTTTTTTTCATAAAATACATTTTACCACGTAATCGAAAAAACATGTTAGAACAAATAATTGGACAATTCGAGCATCATCGTTTAAATTTAACAATGATAACTGGGTCATCAAGGATATATTACATTGTAACGATACATTGTCGTATCGACCATCACACGCGAATATAGAACAAGTACTTTAGTAGGGAGAGAAGGGTAGGCAACTAGCATCCGCAATTAGGAATTCACATTGAGTCATTGTAAATGATACTCTAGCAATTGTTTTATGCAAGCAGGAAGACAGTTTCGTGTTACGGGATGTATTCGCGTGACGAACTGACCGCTCTTCGTCATTCCTTGAAACATTTTCAAAAGCACATTGCCGAAACCTAATGTATGTTTCATAAGATCTAATTATATTCATTATCAAATCTCAATTAGCGGGAGATAATCAATAAAAATTATTTGTAACCTGTCTTTCTCTTTCATTTCTTACATCACAAGCAATTCCAGGATGATTTGAGTAATGGCTAATTAGTATTTCCCGTTATATTATCTTGAACATTTCCGGCCACGACAAGGTCCAGAGATCTAGCTTCATTTCCGTTATCAGGAAATCACTTTGACTCTCGATCCTCGGTCTCTTCTAAATTTCATCGAAATTCTAGTGACAAAGTATGACGTAAGTATTAACTATCGTGACACCGGTCTCTATCGACATGATAGAGAAGGTTAGATGGTGTCCACAATGGAATCCACAGACAAGTACAGGTTCGCTAATGAAGCTTCCTGCATCCGACACATGTTCTCATTACGCGCCTTTGTTGCGCACCCAATTCCGAAATAGACGACTGCATTCTCGCAACCCCCGCAAATACCCCTATAAATACGAGCAAGGTTCCCTTAGTCCTGTCTCGTTCATTACTTCGATCTATCTGTCTCTTGGGTATAACGAAAAGCTACAATATCTTAACTATCTCTTTCTCTTTCTCTCTTTCTTTTACCCTTTCGTCAACGACTCAGAATTCTATATCTTTTGGCTACCCTCTTTTTTACTCGAGTATATATGTATGTATATTGGCTTAAAGAAAATGCCATTAGAATCATATGTCAGCTAACGCGTTCGAAGTAAGTTTCGAAAAAATGAGGAAATAGTTTTGGTGACTTACTTATAGAAACAATAAAACTGTGATAGGCAGAAAGAGGCTTGAGAAATCTTCAACTTCCTAGAATCAATTTACTTGATAAGGATCAATTCCCAATATTACTCCTCTTTCTACAATATCGTTACTATGTAATAAACGTCACACTGAGGATATTGCAAAGCATCATATTTACTTGGCTCTTAAATAATCCTAATATGAAAGATACTACTTGGTAAAATATTATGATATCAGAGTTTAGTCAAGATTTTATCGATTACTAAAGATGAGAGAAGATAAACACGAGAAATATAATAATATCTAAGTTATTTCTTAGATTATATTATGTTAGTTAATCTGTTATATATATTTGTGTATATTTTAAATAAGTTCTAATAAATAAAAAATGATTTTTTTTGTCTCCCTTAAAAAGTGTCTACAACTGCTTGCTCGAATATTCTAATCATTCAATTTCAAAAATTCAAAAGAGAAAAAAGAACAAACTATCAACATTTTCAAATCGCGATCGGCGCAGGTTAAAAGGATGTTGCTAAGATATACAAAACTTCGTGGTCGGCCAAAACTTATGCCATCGAAGGAATCCCACGAACAATGAACAAAAATAGAATTGGCGCAGCCGCCAAAACCATTACGCGAATCCGGCACAATCGTGACTTCAAAGTCAACGAACGAACCAGTACGCGGACTTAGCAACGTCCACATACGCGTGTTTCCCGACGAAAACGATTTGTTAATTTATGCGAGAAAAATACATACAAGCACGATCTTAACCTTATTGCCTTTTCTGCTTGTTTATCGTAACACGCTTTACGATTTAAACCTACTATATCATATAAATGTTAAACCTTGGTTAAATTCGTCGGACAAAAACCATTGAAAGCAATCAATCCTACGCATCCCGCGTACCCTTTTATAAATATTTTTCTACAATATTTATACTATATAAAAAGAAAAAAAGTGATCAAATTTCTCTCTTACAAATTACATTGCGCATGATCAAATATGTAAATGAGAAAAAAAAAAACATATTTCCTTTACGTTTGAAGATCTTAAAACAGTGTAGAAAGAGAAAGATAGAGAAAAAGGGAGAAGGAAAGATTTTTATCTAAGGGCATGGTAGATGAGATCAAAGCTCGCCGACGTCGTCGTCATTAAGCGTCGCCCGTCATTAAGCATTTCGCTTAACGGTCCTTTAAATCATCGACTTTTCCAAAGCGGCACGCGTGCCGATACTTTAAACATCATTCAAGGTCTCCTCCCATCCTTCCTCCATCTCATTCCTTTATTTTTTTCAAAACCTCTGATCCATTATAAGCGAGATCAAAACGAGGAACGATAAAAAGGGGGCGGCGAAAGGATAAAGTCCGACGTATAAAAGAGTAAAATAAAGAGAGAAGTGGAAAAGGGTCTAGGGGGAGGGAGGGGAGGTGGTTCTGGAGGTCGTCGAGAGTTGGCACGACGCGATGTGGCGACGAGTTCGAGAAGAGCTTTCGCGTTCGTTTCGTAGAAAAGAAAAAAAAAAAGAAAAAAGGGAGAGAAAGAGAGAGAAGGAAAAGAGAAAGACAGAAAAAGAGGGAATGCACGTGCTGCATCTCCTTTCCCAGCCCATTTACCACCCTCCGTCGACTCTTTCTTTCTCTTTCTTTCACGTTTGCATCTCATGAAGCACCCCCTCGCCACCCTAGCAAGCTGGTACGTCGTCTTTGCACCGAGTGAAGGCACGTATTTGTTTTCCGCGCCCTAACAACCGCCGGCGTGACATCGAAGGTGGGCGAACGAACTTTTAAAGCCAACCATGAAGAGGGGGAGCCACCCTTTCCCAACTCGTCGCGTCCTTGCGTGCGACACTCTTATGTGCGTGCAGTCAGAAATTTTTCTCCCTCTTCCTCCTCTCTTCCTCTCTCTCTCTCTTTCGTTTTCACTATTTCGACCAGGCCATTCATTGAGTTCATCCGTTCGCGAGTTCCTTAATTAAACTCCGAAGATTGCGCGTAAAAAGGACATCACTTGATTCTCTTCGTCTCCTCCACATAGCCTGGCCTAACGAATGAAACGACATAAGGGTGGTAAGGAACATGAAGAGAAAGAAAGGAATCGAGGGAATTGAATATGAGCATACTTTCACCGAGAAACAGAGATCAGGAAGAGAATGAAAATAAAAAGGGAGAGAGAGAGAGAGAGAAAGAGAAAATGGTATTTACTCACTTGCTGGACCACGTGCAATGACAATTTCTTGTCGGACTTAATCAAGAAACCGGACGATTTTCGAGTATGAACCCGCTTGTTAATAGTAGATCGCGGAACTTTGTTACTGTTTTTCTTTTTAGCACTTATAATTCTACTATGTATACGAATCTATTTTTTACAAAAAAATATTTCTAAATCATTCAAATTACTAAATAATCTACAGTTAATAAAATATCATTTTGATATATATTTTGTACAAATTCATATTGATTATTTAATCTTCGTTAAACAAACATACGAAAAATTAGGTGTCAAAATATGTAATAGTATGAAATTTTTTATATAAAAAAATAAAACGTAAAATATATGATTATTACAAAAATATTTTTCCATACGAGGTACACGTAATTGACAAATTATTCGATTATTATAATATAATATGATCAAGATACGTATATATTGTAAACCTTTTACGTTAGTTGCGTTTGACGCGAAAGTACTATAAAATCGTAAAGCTCTTTTAATCTCACTTAATTACTTTCGCCGTATCGATCTAGTAGCAGAGAAGTCGGCAAAAATCTCAAGCGTTATACGAATCCAAAAGGATTCAATTCGGAATCCAAAGTTCGTACTGGTTTCTTTTTTCGAGGCCTAGTAGGTACAGGGAGAACGGTGTGATCTAAAACTAACAGTCGGTAAAGGGGAATGAACTCATCGGAATACGCATGAGTTGTATTGGATGTCGGCGGTGAAATGCTTGTCCTACCCGTTTCCTCTTAACGCTTTGCTAGAAACTTTGCTGGTTGTTTCAATGAAACGACTTGTATGTATATACGCGAATGCAAATTCCATTTCATATACAAAAATCTCATTGTTTATGTTGTACAACTTGCGAACATAGAAATTTTATCAAATTTTCAACGATGAGATCGTTAACGGCGAACAAACGAATTATTGATTTAACTGTACAAACGTGTAAAGTTTGAATATAAAGTTAACATTTGCCAAAAAAATATTTATGATTCAAATAATTTCTAATTAATTTAATTGCAAAACACAGAAAAGGGATATAATTTGAAACCTGAGTTTATTGATTCGTCTCTATATGATACTATAAACAAACATATTAATAATTGCAAGATATTCGAAGTACTTTACGTCGAATAGCTACAGGCCCGTTCACAATTGTGAAAAGCAGCACGAAGTTGAATTGAACGGGCAAAGCAAAAGCTTCGTGTTCTGCAAAAGTGCAATCTATCGTTGAAAGGGAAAAAATAAAGAAAAAGGAAAACAATATGCCAACACTTAACGCGAAAATAGGCACGAGAGTCTCGAGTCATTGAATTACGCGGTTTTCCCCAGGCGTTTGCCAGACAGAGGCGCCATAAAATGCGCGGAGGGATAAGAGAACTCCTATAAAGCCCTTTCCGGTTGCAGGGACGTGAGTGCTTAGTGCGAACGCACCCTTAGGCTCGTAGCTAAAACGAAGAGGAAAACTAGACTGAGAGAGAGAGAGAGAGAGAGAGAGAGAGAGAGAGAGAGAGAGAGAGCGAGAGAGTAAAAGAAGACGGGATG